GTGATACGAGACTGTGGTACTTACCTGATTGGAGACTTGGAGATTGTTGAGGTTGATACTCGGCTGCATCACAGTTGGACACCGGTTACATCTGGACTCTGTTATCTCCGACATTGGTGACCTTTGGTCCTCGACATTTTGATCTTGTTATATGACATTCTGGACTACCATTTCGGAGATCTACCAGACTCTATCTTGTGACCTATCGGTGTGATCTACCTCCTACCTCCTTCGTCTCTCCTCCCACCTTTCATCTGTGTATGTGTGTACGGGATCTGGGTATCGTCTATGAATGACCCAGACCCCACCATCTCATGATTGTATGTGTGTGGAGTGATGCCATGTAGGTCAGTCTATGTGAGTCAGTCTATGTGAGTCAGTTCGTTATCAGACTTCCGCTGCATAAATGCTCATCCTATATTGGTTGATCTTTGGTTCTGCCCATACTCGTTGAAGTATGTAACACCAGCGCTCACACGCTCACGGGCGAGCAGGATGAGCAGGCAGCCATAGCCGACCTGCGCTGCTGTAAGCTGGATGGGGCGCATGGTGGTCCTTGGGTGCACGCGGCATCTGTGAGTTGGGGAACGAGGTTGTGAGTGATACGAGAGACATACCTGGTGCTTGAAGTGAACGGCATTGGCCGAGATCTGCTCGTACTTCGGGGAGCTGTTGACGTCACCAGCGGCATTGTAGATAGGCTAGATAGGATCTGCCATTTGTAGTCTGGGCGCCGAGCGCCAGATAGGATGTCGACATTGGTTTTTTGTTGATGATGATGGGACTACTCGAACATTGTCACTCATGAACTTTTGCTGTGCTGTTATTTGGTGGGAGTTGTGTTGCAATTCTGCTTGGCTCGAGGTCACGACTATCTGGTCTCATGTGTATGATGCTGCTTGGTTTTCTGAAGTTCGCTATCGCTCATTTTCCTTGCAAAAATAAAAGGTGATAGAAAGTCATGCTGCCATTGTCCGTTGCTATCATGTAGCCTTGGTTATCTTTTTGACGTTTCGATTTTGTTAAAATTTTGTTTTCAACTTCTCATTTTTTTTGGAAATATTTTTTATGAAATTTTATCGGAAACAAAAAAAGATGCGAATTCCTCGACTGGCATAACTGACTCCGCCTGCATCTATTTGAATCATGCAGATCGAGTTCGCTCAGAGATCTTCACAGCTTGGTTTCTTCAGCAGTGAAAAGCACCCAAGCTATGGGCTCTTCAAGGTTTGTTGTCACCAGTCCCCTGCCAAGTTAACTTGTGAATCGTGTTCCGATTGAGGGAGTTTTGCAGGATATTGTTCACATCGAGTAGATGGATGTCTTCTTCTTCTTCTTCTTCTTCCTCTTCCTCTTCGTCTTCCTCTTCCTCCTCCCTCCTTCTCCTTCTTCTCCTTCCTGCTCGTCCTCCTCCTCCTCCTCTTCTTCCTGCTCATCCTCCCCCTCCTCCTCTTCTTCCTCCTCGTCCTCCCCCTTCTCCTTCTTCTTCCTCCTTGTCTTCCCCCTCCTCCTCTTCTTCCTGCTCGTCCTCCCCCTCCTCTTCTTCCTCCTCATCCTCCCCCTCCTCCTCCTCGTCCTTGTCCTCCCCCTCCTCGTCCTCGACCTCCTCCTCGTCCTCCCCCTCCTCCTCCTCTACATCTTCTTTTTCTTCGTCTTCTTCTTCTTTGTCGTCGTCGTCATCATCGGCGCCGGCGGTGGCGTTGTCGTCGTTTTCCTCTTCTTCGTTGTCGGCATGGCCGTTGTCATTGTCATTGTCTTCTTCTTGTTGGTTAAGCGAGGATTGCCAGAAAGGGTATTACGAGTGATGCAAGCAAAATAATGAATGTGTTGGTGCGGATGATCAGCGGGGAAGGAAGTCATACATGTGTTGAATCGATCATAGCAGATGGTACAAAGAACCAGCAAGTGAGAACATTAAATTTTCGAGATGCAAGAGCTGATTGAACTCTTTGAAGACCAAACATGAGTGAATCCAAAGCTGAAAGCAGAATGGCAAAGCCGAGAGCATTCTCTCTTTTTTTTTCCTTCTTTTTTTTTTTTTTGGAGGGGGGGGAGGGGCTTGCGCAGGGGGAGGGGGGCCTGACGTAGACCATTAAAGTTAATTAAATGATGTTTCATTGTTGACTACCTCAACCTCTTGTTCATGTTTCTGGACAGTGTCATCGTGTTGTCTTTGAGATCCGTTTTCGTTTTTCTCTTTTTTTTTCCCTTCCTTCCCTGCGATAGCTTTTATACATTGTGCAGAGCAAAAATGTTGATGATGTGTTTTTGACATTTTTGTACACGTCTAACCTGTCATTAATCATTTGAACGTTGGATGAGTTGGTTCTATAACTTCTATGTATTCTCTTTGTACCCCCAGGTTGGACCAACAAAAAACGTTTTTGGTTGTTGTTGCTGGACAGCTTTGATGTCTTTTGCTATTGATCTGCTTGGAATAGTTTAGGATCGCATCTCCGGACAAATATTTTAGAAAATTGACTTATTGACTAGGCTACTGGGCTCTCCCATTCGTGCAGCTTGGGCAAGCCACTGGGGGGTCACCTGCACAGGGCACCCCGTGAAGATAAAAATCAGCCCTTTCTCCTTTTTTTTTTTTTTTTTTTTGGGTGGAGTTTTTTCTGCACATGGCCAGAGGCGCCCAAATCCAGGCTCCTTTTTCTTTCTGAGTGTTGGCTGTGAAAGGTGGGGTGGGGGGGGGAGGGGGTATAAATTGGTTCTTAGGGGTTAAAGGGGTGTACAGAGGGGGGGTGCCTTAGTCTGATTCTGGTTTTTTTTTGTTTTTTTTTTTAATCTTCGGTTCCATGAGGAATTCTGATGTGACCCTGAGCCAATACTCGTTTGTATTGCAATTCTACACAACATATTCGTTTTCTGGGAATTTTTTCTTTTTTTTCTTTTTTCTTAGGTGCTGGGGCTGCCCAGAACCGTGCCCTGGGGTTCATGCTCGGCCGGGCACCCGGGCGTCTATCCAGGCACAAGTTGGGTGCTCGGGCGCCCGGACTTACAGCCTTGCTTATTGATTGATTCATAGATGGAAGTTGTCCATAGTGATATGGGGGCCCCGTGTGGAAGGGCTGTTGGAAGGTCCTACTCTTACCCTCTTGTCTATGTCTATCTTTTTCTTCTTCTTCTTCGTCTTCTTCTTTTTTTTTTCTTTTTTTTTTTGGCTTCTGCTCAGAAAGAGGCTGGGAAGTCGCGCAATCGAGATCTTGCACCATTCTTCCAGGCGGGCTTTGGAACACATCATGCAGGAATGCTACGTCAGGATCGGTCATTAACCGAAAGAATGTTCAGTGAAGGACTGCTGAAGGTAAAAAGGAATTATATTCTTTCTAGTAAGTTTCTGCTCAGCTTGCCCAACCGAATCTGGCCAGGATCGGTCTCCCTTTGTCTCAGACTTCAGTTAGGATGTACGTTAGGACTTGTTCAACTGAATCTGGCCACCATTGAGGTCATGCACAGCCTCAAAAAGGTCGCAGCAGTGTGAGTATGCCATTATCTTGAGAATTAAAGACATATCAGTATTTATTGGAATTGATAGCAGGTGATGGAAAAGAGGGGAAGTTGCATGGGCAAGTGGGAGAGGGGGACGGATGGTAGGTGATCTTGGGAGGGAGGCTACATTCATGCTTGGGGTGTCTGAATGAGGGAAGTACCGTCTTACCGTCTTATGCTTTTGCCTTCAACTGCAGCTTGGAGAAGATTTTTGAGTACATGAAAATTATGATGAAATCCATTATTATTACCATGGCTAAAAGAAGGGGGGGGAAGTTCAAAAAATTCAAAAAAAACATAATTTGAGAGTTGGTAGCGGACAAAAAGTAATGACTATCGTGACGACAATCCCAGAGTTTTCAAAATCAAAGTAATAACTATCGTGACGACAATCCCAGAGTTTCTCATTTCTTTTGGTCAAAAGTATGGATGGTTGATACCAAACAAAAGTAATAGCTGACGACTAAGACGACATCGAGGAAGTAATTACTGTCAAACCCGTACTTTGCTCCTCTGCTTTTTCATTCTTGTCTTCTTAGTCTTCTTTTCGCTTCCTCTTCACCTTCGTCATCACCCTCGTCATCGCCCTTGTCATCGCCCTTGTCCTCGTCCTTGTCCTCGTCCTAGTCCTCGTCCTAGTCCTTGCCGTCGTCCTGGTTGTTGTCACGGTGATCCTCCTCCTCCTCCTCCTCTTCCGTCTGTTCCTTGTGGTGGTGGTGGTTGTTGTTAATGCTGGTCCGTGCTGGATCGTTTTCTCAGGAAAAGTATATTAGTAATAACCTACTAATACCTGGGACAGAACTGGAAAGCATGCAAGTGAAAAGGTGAAATGCAGCACTCACACGGCTGCAATGTTTGGTTTGTTGCTTCTGTTTTCTCTTTGTAGGTATAGTGTGATATTTGGTATCTTGTTGGCGCTTCTGTACACTTTCATTTCTGGATTTTCACTTCTGGAGTTTTGATTGGTTCCTTTCCTTGGAATGCATGAAGAGCACTGAAGACCCAACAAGTGGCCAGTTAAGGGCAAAAAAATATCCCTGTATATTGTTGTTCTCTGCATGGCACAAAACCCCTGCAAAGACCCAACAAGCGGCTATTGATCTCGAAGGGGTGAAAAGTTGAAAACACCTTATTTTGTTTGTCTATGTTTATGTGCTAATGAATGATACAAATTGTCAAATTTAAAAAACCTCCGCGTATTGGAACTTACTTTCAAAATGGGCCCTGTTGAGTGCTCTTTCAACAAGGGCTAGATTATGATTTTTTGGTGGGGATTTGATGGGTTTCTTTGATTCCCAACCAATCGGTTTGCCATTTCAATGAAAATTAAGAATAAATAAATGTGTCTGGTCATGCTTACAGGTGCTTGTCTGCACGGCAACGCTTGCTTGGGGAGTCAATCTTCCTGCTCACACGGTCATCATCAAGGTATGGTCTGTAATGTGGGGAGTCAGCTTCTTGCTGGGGGGTCAATCTTCCTGCAGATTTCGAGTGTGTACGTGCGTTGCTTGTGTTCTGTAATGATCGGCCTACTGTCGTCCAATGTGCAGGCCAAGTTTTATGTGATGCCGCTGGCCATAGCGGCATGGCCCGACTATATCATGCATGTCCTCGCTGGAGGTGACATATGCAGCCTGCTATGTGGGTTCGTTTTTTTTTGTGTGTGTGTTGTTGTTGTTGTTGTTGTTTTCAGTGTGTGTGTGTGCTGTATACTCGCTATACATTACTCCACCAAGAAATGCATGACTGTGTCAGAATCGGACTTGTTCTCTGTGTGTGTGTGTGTGTGTGTGTGTGTGTGAGATAAGAATTTACACTGCTTGTGTTTCGCTTGTTGGGCCTGTATCTGATTCTTGATTGCAGGGTACACAACTGTATGATGCCAAAGCGGGTGGATTCCGAGAGCTTTCGATGCTTGATGTCATGCAGGTATGTTTGCAACTTTGCGAGCATGGCTTCCGCTAACGATTGGAGCAACCCGCATTCCTCTGATGTCTGCCATTATAGTCCTTTAGGATCACATTGCCTTCGTGCAAGACTTATACTAATAAAATCACACTCCAAAGGAAAACAGTGAAACTCTCTCTCCCAGTTGGCCGCCCCTGGGGCATGGGCCAATAAGTGAATTCTCCTTTTTTTCCCTGAGGGGGTTTCGAATGTAGTTTTTCTCAACCAGCAATAGACACATCTCGGTTAGCCAGACTGTGTGCCAAGCGCGAAGAGCAATTCTAATAATTGTCACAAGAGACTGCACCACTCGGAGCTTTTTTTTTTCCTTTTTTTTCCCTTTTTTTTTTTTTTTTTTTTTTTTTTTTTTTTTTTTTTTTTTAAGTTTTTTTTTTTTTTTTTTTTTTTTTTTTTTTTTTTTTTTTTTTTTTTTTTTTTTTTTTTTTTTTTTTTTTTTTTGTTCTGTTTTTGTTTTGTTTTTGTTCTTTTTTGTTCTTTTTTTGTTTTTTCTTTTGTTTTCTTTTTTGTTTACGAGTGCGGTTTGCCATTTTTGTTCCTGTAGCAGAGCCTCTTGAGAAATCATGAGCTGTAGAATTGGAGTTCGCTGTTGCTGATGTAGGGGATGACAGCAGCGATCTTCAACGGAGAGAAGAGTGATCTTCTACTCTTATCATAGTTTCCTGAGTGAATGCTATCACAATCATGGCCAGGTTCAGATGGGAATGTAGTACAATGTACTAATGTGAGTTCGCTCTCAGAGCGATGTTTTGCAGTTTGTAACTTTGTAGTACTTCATATGCGTAATGATTACACTAATACACTGAGGATTTAAAAAAAAAAAAAATTGAGTCATCGTTTCTGCTGTTTTGATGGCCGCTTTCAGATATTTGGACGAGCTGGCCGGCCGCAGTTTGACACCAGCGGAGAGGGAATCATTATCACCACCCACAACAAGCTTGCACATTATCTCCGTCTGCTTACACATCAGCTGCCCATTGAAAGCCAGGTAGGCTCCAAGGTCTTTTGCATAAATCCCCCTCATGTCAAATGCACTGCTGTCCTCCTTGGACCCCTTTTCCCCCGCCTAGGTACGTAGCAGCCAGCACTGTCAAAATGCCTCTCTGCCATGCAGGGACTTGTGTGGTATGGTGTCACAATTGCTGTTCTCCCACCAATACGACATCAGACCTCTCTTCACGCCTCTTCCTGTCACACTGCTCTCTTTTTTTTTAAGAAAAAGAAAAAGAAAAAGAAAAAGAAAACAAAACATAGTTCTGCAAGGGACTGAGGTTAAATCAGAGCATCGAACAAGTCTTTGGGCCGTAGGTTTTGGGCCTTTTGGACAAGTTATTAAAGTTCTAAGGTCAAAAGCCGGCCCCACAGCCTCCCGAGGGGTGTGGCATAAAAGGCCTTAGGGTGATAGGCCTACTGGGTTCACCCAAATACAACGTACAGTCATTATAGCTGTATTTGGGTCGACTTTGAGTTTAAATCATACTTGCAAGCAGACGGACCGGACGAGCGTCCGTTCCGGTCCGCTTTGCCACGTGCGGCACCCTCCCCCTGGACCAGACGGACCCGGACCGGACCTGACGGGGGCGTTGTTTTTTTTTTTTTTTTTTTGGGGTGGGGCGTAACTGGTCGTCGGGCGCACATTCGTGCGCCGCACGGGTCCGGTCCGGCGGTCTGCCGCACGTGCGGAACCGCCCGGACGGCGTCCGCTTGCAAGTATGGTTTAAATACAGCAATATTGACTGTACGGCGTATGTTGTATTCCGGTGAAGGCAGTAGGTTCAAGGGTCAAATCGAGGTGCCCCGCGAACGTCAAATCAGGCCCAACCTGGGAACAAAAGTCAGGAGTCAACCAAAGACCGCAGATCATATACAATCCAAAAGCTCAGTGCAAATTCTCTGTGTTATGGTGGAAAACTAAACTTCAAACTTCAATGCTTCAAAGTTCAACCTGCAAATATAAAGTTGCAAGGAACTCAAGTGATGTGGCATAGAGAGTCATTGAAGACTATTATGGGATAGTATCATAGTAATCATAGTCTCAATTTCTCAAATTTGCTGTTTTCAAGGGAGACCCTACCTCAGAGTCCTTTGACATTTTTTTCCTGGTCATAAAAGTAAGTCTCAAGAAATGTAGGGCCTCTCAACCGTAATGGGGAGGAGCGTGCGTGAGTTCATTATGTAATTTCTTCTGATTTACCTGTGGGATAGGAACGGGACTGACGCTTGCCAGAATGAATATGGAGGCAGAGCCATAAGGTAAAAAAATAAAAGGAAATTCCAAGGAATGTGCGTCTCCAACTCTATGCCGCAATCACTGCAATGCATTTTTTGCAATTGGTTATGTGAAAGTTGTTTTCTGAAATCTTTCCAATCAATCCAGTTTGGCAGTTTGTGTGAGAGTTTCCTCAGAGAATACCACCTGCACAGTGGCTGAATGGCCCAGAACAAGTAACTGTGTGAATCAACAAATCAAGATCTCAAAACCTCTCATCCTTCCCAAAAGAAACCAAGGAGAGTTTATTGCTGGGATTGCGGATCGAGTGGCTGAGCGTTTGAACTGCATGGCATAGCAAATGTGTTCGTGCCCCTCTGCGTTCTCGCAAATGGCTCGCGAACGTGTTCGAGCTTTGTCCATCACTTACCAAATGTGCAAAATGAGAATGAATGTTCCGCCAGAACATTGAAACGCCGCCAGTCCAGTTGATGTAGCTCAGTGGTTAGAGCACCGGTTGGAAATGCGCATTGTGGTATGAGGTTCCGGGTTTAAATTCGCAGCCTCACTGCCTGTGCACCACCCAGGGGACTGTCCATGGTGTTGTATGTTGGGTCCTGGCCTATGAGGGGTTTGCCTGATACAGTTAGCAGTATAATGAGGATGCAGGTATGGGTTTGTGGTTAGACTGCTCATGTGTGTTGGTTACCTTAGGCTCTGCTTTGGGGGCGGCAAGGACCTGAGGTGGGATGGGGTCCCGTTTGGGGGGAGGGTTGGATTGGGACAAGCTCTACTGGAGGATATCGGTGGGGAACCTACAGTAGGTGATTGTCTTAAGAGATCCCGCTAGGGAGGGTGTTAGTAGACAGACTCTGGTGGAGGAAATCGTTGAGGAACCTGCAGTAGGGGCTGTCTGAGGGGGATCCTCCAAGATAGGATGGTCTGGGTCCCATAAATTAGTTGCTGACTGTATATAGGTACCTGTCATGGGTCCAGAAACTGACCTCTACAACACCCTGGACTTAGAAAAAGAGAAAAAAAAAGAAAAAGAAAAAAGAAAGAAAGATACGCCGCCAATTTTTGTGTCTTTTGTGCATGTTGTGAGCAGTGGAGCGAGGCCCGTTGTGTCTACTGCTTGAGTCACCAAATGTGCAAAATGATAGTGAATGTTCCAGTAGAACATGGAAAGATTCGCCGTCAATTCTTTTGTCTTTAGTGCATGTGGTGAGTAGCGGAGCAAGGCCCGTTGTCTACTGCTCGAGCCCTCTTTGTAATATTTGTGCACACACCATGGCAGCTGTAGCACCTTTTGGCATTTGCTTTTTTTCTTTGTTTGTGTTTCTTCCAAAAGGAACACTGCAGGATTGATTCATCTGACGCTAACGCTAATCGTCTGATCCCTGTGCTCCACCACTGCTGTTTTTTTTTTTTTTTTTTACCTCCTTTTGCTTGCCTTTGTGACATTGCAGTTCATAAGCTCATTGAAGGACAACCTGAATGCTGAGGTAGTGCTTGGAACTGTGACAAATGTGAGAGAGGCAAGCATCTGGCTGGGCTACACTTATTTGTATGTGCGGATGCTGAAGAACCCCCTTGCTTATGGTATCACGTGGGAACAGGTGTGCATACGTTCCTTTGAAACTCTGCAGGTTGAATCAGTTGCGAGAGACACCCTTAAGTTCTTGTAATTTCTGTGATAGGTGAAGAGTTTGAAGACACTGAACAGTCACTGAACAGTCACTGAAGATTCACTGAAGAGCATACTTGCAGCGCATCAAGGTGCGCTGCACCCCGCACGTGCGCCGCACCGCGCACGGGGTGCGGCGCACCCCGAAAATAAGGGGTCGACCAAAAAAAAAAAAATTTGCCGAGGGGTGTTCTGGGCCGGGGTGGGATGTCGCGTGATGAACCAAAAAAAAAAACAACAACAACAATTTGAGGCCGCGCGGGGCCTCGGAAAAAAAAAAGGGGGGGGAGCTGAAGTTGGTTTGTTTTTTGAAGTTTTGAATCCGGAGTGCTGCCCCTCGCTGCGTGCGGCAGTCCAAGGCGTCGTCGTCCAGCCATAGCCAGGGCACTACAGTCTTCCTGAAGGAGCCGAAGAAGCAGCGGGAGGAGCG